TTATCATCATGTGGGAATTAACCAGAAAAGCAACTCGGCTTGTTGCTGTTGCAGGTTTTTGTGTAACAGCTTCCCAAGTCTTACTGAGAGAAGAAAAGCACAGAGAACCATCCCAACTGCACAAACATACAAGTCTCAATCCCTCGTAGCTTCAGGTACTTCGACCTCCTTTAAAACAGCTTTATTCTAATTTGAAAACTGTACTCTTCTATGGTGTGGCAACTTAGAGTCAAGAACCTTTTCTAATCAGGGGCGCCTGGGTGGCTCAGTCGGTCGAGCGTCTGCCTTCAGCTCAGGTCATGATCCCAGGGTCCTCAGATCGAGCCCTGCATGGGGCTCCCTGCTCAGCAGGAAGCCTGCTTCTCCCTCTCCCACTCCCCGGGCTTGTGTTCCTCTCTCGCTATGTCTATCTCTGTCAAATAAATAAATAAAATCTAAAAAAAAAAAAAAAAGAAACTTTTATAATCAAAGTCTTTGAAAAAGAACCTAAGCACTGGAAACGTTCTTCCTCACGGATGCCAGGCGAGCAAAAACACACCTAGGAGAGGTTCAGAAGTGGGATGGAGGGGGCCTGGCTGGCTGACGGATGTGCACTTGCTAAGAGCCTTTTGAGCAGCACTGACAAACACTTCGGAACCGCACGAGGAACCTTAGAAATCACCCGAGCCAAACCCACACTTCACCAACTGGAGTGTAGTAGCTCAGAGAAGAGCCCTGGTCAATCCAAGGTCACAAAACAAGTTACTGACAGAGCTCGGTTTAGAATTTACAGTCTCGGGGCGCCTGGCTGGCTTAGTCAGAATGGCAAGCAACTCTTGATTTCAGTTCAAGCCCTATGTTGGGCAGAGAGATTATTTACAAAATAAATTAAATAAATAGAATTTACAGTCTTCTCACCTTTCTTCGTACTTCTATATAAAGTAACATGGAAACAGTAGCATCGGGGACCATGGAGAAATCAAATCTATCACTATTGCAAAAACTGTAAATGGTCTCCAAGTATTCTAACATGTCTGAACTAAGAAGGAGAGGAACATCAAAACACTCCCAGCAAAGGGGTGGGGGAGGGGTGGGTATTAGCTTTTTTTCAGTTTTATCCTGACAACTCCACACCATGGGAAGATGCCAAAGGCCCCAAGGACTGTGTCCCATGTGAGCATGGTGCAACAGGTGATTTTTTTTTTTTAAGTGTTTAGAAACCACTTACTAAGTCCATACAAAATTCTAACATTTGAAACCATTTAAAAGAGCTACTCATACCATAAATGACTAGTCTGTACTTGTAAGCAGGACAGAGTGTTAGGAGACTAAAGAAACCACAAGAGTGAGGTGAAAAGGAACTGAACTAGAAGGATAAGCAAAAAAGGAAAATACAGATACTGAAGCCACTACAAAGGAAAACTATTTCCAAACCACTTGGAAATAGCTGAACTGATACAAGGATAAAAGAATAGATGACCAAGGTCACTAGATGACTAGAATCCAAGGGCCTTTGGGGGAACATCTGTGGTTAGTCCAGTCCTGATACTCTTTTATGTTTCTTTCCCCAAATAATTAAAATCAATTTTAAAAAAATAAATAAATAAAAAATAAAATCAATTTTTATTTTAGAAAGTTAAATTAAAACATTTAAACACAATGTAGCGGGGGAAACCTTTTAAAAATTCTTACCAAAGGTTACTCAGAGAATTCTGATGACAAAAGGACTTACTGATAGGTCTGCTGAATAGCTTTTACTGACAGAATAAACAGATCAATCTCTAAGTCAACCGCTGAACCAACAAAATTCCTCCCTCCTTCACAGGACAATCATGAGAATAAAGCAACACCCATGAAAACACCTAATCCGGCACCTAGCACATGACAGATTCTCAAAAGTTGGACCTTAAACGTATGAATTGTCGGCTCTACAAAACGTAGATTTGCTTATATGTGACTTTTCTCCCTGCCTTTCTCATCTACATCCCTCTTCAGCAGCAGGCTCAAATGTACAAGTTATCTAGAAAACATGGACTCTTTTTCAATGCCAGCCCGCTCAGCTTGGGCTCAGAGAACCACAGTGACAGTGAAATATGAGATAGAGAAGTTACAGAGTGGTCCCCTTGCCCAGTCACCCGACATTCCTCCACTTCGTGTCAAGCTTTAATCAGCCTTTTTGGCTGAGAGCTGAGGACTCCCTGTCTCTGTTTCCCAAGTACACCTCACCCTATCCAACCACCCATGCCTAAGTGCTGGTTCAAGAAAGCACAATTGCAAGCCTTATTTCTCTCAAACTCAGATCAACCTAGGGGACCTTCTCATTCAATTTAACCCCCTCTACCACTCCCACTCACTCCTAGTTAACTCATACGGTTTCTGTTATAATGGTTTTGTTTTCCCCACCCCACTTCTCCCACGCCCCATCACTGCAGTCAAACTGCTGTTTCAAGCCTTTTAAAAATCATTAACTTCACTACCCTAACCCCCATTCCCTGCCACAAAATCAATATTGGCCCTTACTTCTCTTCCACTCATCCTCAATTCAGATTAGAGTAGTTAAGTAAAATACAAAAATGAGGGTTTCTCCTCTGTAAAGAGATACACAAAATGGCATACATGCAGCTACAGGCACTTCCCCACTGGTACTTAAATTCTTCATCTCTTTTCACTGAGGGTAACTAGAAGAAATGCCCCCACTTTCCACTGATCCTGAAGTATGAAATTACACTATTCACACATTAGACCTTTTATTTTCCAATTTGCTACAGTTTGGTGGATACCCTATTTGGCCTTGCCTAAAATAATTTACACTAAATTACAGTATCAACAGTAAAAATGTCAGCAGAAACCTTACATGTGTCTGCCTCTGACAAGACTGAATTTCTTGGATAGAAATCAAGTCACTGTATTTATATTTCTTTCTTTTTTTTTTTTTTTTAAAGATCGTACTTACTTGACAGAGAGAGATCAGAAGTAGGCAGAGCAGCAGGCAGAGAGAGAGGGGGAAGCCGGCTCCCTGCTGAGCAGAGAGCCCGATGTAGGGCTCGATCGCAGGACCTTGAGATCCTGACCCGAGCCGAAGGCAGAGGCTTAACCCACTGAGCCACCCAGGTGCCCCTATATTTATAGTTCTTAACAGCATTCAGTATTCTGCCTTATATGAGCCATTCAATCAACTGAACTGTGCAACAAGGTAAAGGAGAAATAGCACTGAAGGTATAACAGGGCAAAGGAGACATGGCATACTCCATAAAAGCAAAGCATAACTTTCTTCACATTGTGTGACCTCAGGAACAACCACATTCTCTGTGCCTAAGAAGCCTCTCCTGAAAAATGGCAGGCATCTGGCAGTAAAAAGTGTATAAACTCCGGGATCTCTCCCATCTGACAATCCAGCAAGCCCTGTGAGTTCAAAGGTCATTCCACATCCCTCCTTCCTACCACAATTGAAATAGCCCAGGCCACTTAGAGGCCAAAGCTTGTCTGTCTGATCATAGGCTGTATCCCAAAATTATGGACGAGGGGTTCCCCATTACCTTGCTGGCCCATGACGTGTGTGTGTGTGTGTCTTCTCCAGGAGAACATGTTCACATACAATTATATGCACCTTGAAAACAAGGCCTGCATCTTATTCCTTTAAAACCTCTACACAGGGGCGCCTGAGTGGCTTAGTCCTTAAGCGTCTGCCTTCGGCTCAGGTCATGGTCCCAGGGTCCTGGGATCGAGCCCTGCATCAGGCTCCCCGCTAAACGGGAAGCCTGCTTCTCCCTCTCCTGCTCCCCCTGCTTATGTTCCCTCTCTCACCATGTCTCTCTGTCAAATAAATAAATGAAATCTTAAAAAAAAAAAAAAAAAACCTACACAAAGCCTAGTATCCATCAACATGTTCAATCACCTTTTGATGGAAACTGAGAGGTGGCCCTGATAGAGCAAGGGAATACAGGAGTTCTGGGATCAAGCATCACTCTACAAATAACCTTGGCAAGTCAAAACCCTGTTAGACACATTAGGGGAATTATTTTGCAACTCGATGTCAAAGCACCCTGAACACTGACAAAAGCGAATAAAGTTATTCTTAAAGGGTATTGTTTATTGACAAATTAGCCTTATTGACAAAATAGCCAAATTAGTTTGACAAATGTGCATTAAACAGCCACCTGTTTTTAACAGACCTTAAACAGCTGGGTATTAATTGGTCTACAATCTAGTCTGAGTTAGGAAGTATGCCCCTAGATTATCTTCAAAATCCCTTCCAATTCTAAAGCTCCCTAATTTTCTAAGAAAATAGGCTCAGGGTGATCCAAGAATCACAAATGTACCACTCCCTTCACCTAGCCTGTGTAAGTAATCCAGGCGGGAGGCGAGGTACTGTGGTACAGCTTTCCCTCCGCAGGTGGTTCCCAAGAAGTAGACTGTGGCGTGAAGCAGGCCCGGGGGCCTCTCATCTGAACTCAGAAACTGCACGGGCCTTTGAAGAATGCTTTGTTTTAGGACTTGAGCAACTGAAGTCAACCGCTCCCTTCCTTGTCCCTAACTAGCCCTGGCCTGCCTGGTTGGGAAAAAAAAAAAAAAAAAGTCACCTGTCCCATCTGCAGAATGTCAAGCTGGACTAGGATCCGTTAGGTCCCTTCCTGCTGCCATCCAGAAAAGTCCCCTGTGAGAACTGAAGATGGCCGGGGCCACCACCACCCTGCCCCTCCTCTGGCCAGGGGTAAATTCAAGTCCACCCGCCCATGCTCAAAACTCAACCTGCAGAGCCGCACTGCGATTCCCCCCACCTGGGGACACGTCCCCAGTAGAGGGTCTATTAAGATGGGGCCGGGGGACAGGGATGCTGCTGCGAGCCACACCCGCTCTCTCTTTGGAAGGAAGCGGGCCGAGGTCTTCATGGGCACGGGAAGGAGGGCGGAGACTTTGGAGGGTCCCCGCACTGGTGAGGAGGAGCTGCAGGACGGCACCGCCGGGACTCAGGGGTGTGTAGTGCGGGCAGCCGCGCGCCGGCCGGGCCCACGCTCACTCACCCACAGGCTGCTGAAGTAGTCGAGCCCGCGGCAGATGAGCGCGCCGACGTGCGCCAGCAGCACCTGCACGCCCAGGTAGCTGCCGAGGCTGTAGAGGCCGTAGAGGAGCGGGCCGCCCGCGCCCAGCAGCAGCAGCAGGCGGCGGCGGCGCAGCGCCTGCTCGCCCAGGGCCTCGACGCCGTAGTCGGCGAAGCAGAGCGGCAGCAGCAGCGCGGCCAGCACGATGGGCGTGTGCGCGCGGTGCAGGCGCTGCAGCCAGTGGCGGCCCAGGCGCGTCAGCGAGCTCTTGAAGGGGTGCAAGAAGGTGCCGCACAGCACGGCCCACAGCAGCGGCCGCAGGAAGGCCTCCAGGATGAAGTAGACGAGCACGGCGGCGCCGCAACACAGACACACGAACAGCACGGCCCCCGTGTTGTAGAAGGCCTGCTTGATGGGCTTGTCGAAGCGCAGCGCCAGCGCCGGCGTCCTCGGCGTCTCCCCACAGCAGCCGCCGCCGCCTCCCGGGCCCACCGGGCGCGGGACCCGCAGCACCCGGCCCGGGGAGCCCCGGGGACTGGGCGCTTCGGCAGGGGCGTTGCGGTCAGCCATAGTGGCTCCGCTGCCGCCGCCAAGAGGCGGTACTGGGAAGCCGAGCCGGAGGCACCGGGGAGAGGCTAGGCGCACCGCGCGCAGCATTATGGACGTTGTAGTTTCTAGCTGGGCGCTCAGAGCCTACAAGACCCTTAGAGAACTACAATTCCCAGAAAGTCGGGAAAGAGTTCTTTCGCCTCCGGGTTCCTTCGCCTATTGGTCCCTGCAGATGCAGGTAACAGGTTTCTAGGCTCAACATCTTCCAGGAATGGGGTGCAAAAATGTCGCTTCACCCATTGGTTAAAGTCAACTTTTCAGGAGGCGGAATTCCCAAAGAGGCACTATATTCGCAGATCGAAATTCTAGGCTGTACTTTAGAATCCCCCGGGTGGCGAGGATGGGCCGGGGTTTGGGGGGTAGTACTTAAGAAAGACGGATCCCCACATTCAGTTTTCTTGATTTATTTAAGCAAAGTGTTTGCTCCTGTGCAATACTTAAATAGCGATTACCATACCGCAGACCCTGTTCCAACTTCCTCATTCATTGAATCCTTTGAACAACCCTCCAGTTATTACCCCCACTTTACAAAAAAGAAAACTGAGGCCCAGAGAAGTTAAGTACCTTGCCAAGGTCACACAGCTACTGAGTAGCAAAGGCATAATTCAAGCGCGGAATCTGACTCCTAAATCTGTTGTCTTACCTGTTGCACTAATTGGTCTGACTAGTGATCTTTGGCATGTTCTTTAAATCTCCCCAGTGCACTATGAAGTACAGCTACTGTTGACATTGGGGGCAGGTGTCATGTGAGCGAATCTAAACTCCTAAAAGAGCTCGAGATCAGATTCTCAAACTGCTGTTTCTTTTTGAGACCCAGGGTCAGATTAGTTAAGCCCCCAAACCTGATTTTCCATCTGTCATGTGAATATGATAATAATAGAAGCTCTTGTCTCAGGAGAGAAAAAGAGAAATCTCTAGGGCAATGCAAGGTGCTTTTTTATGTTAGAAAGGTCCTGGGATCCAGCACTACTACTCACACCCCAACCAACATTTTTATTAAAAGAGAAAGAAAGAAAGAGCCGGAGGGAGGGAGGAAGGAGGAGTAGGAAGGGAAGGGAGGGAAGGAAAGATGGAAGGAGGTAGAGAGAGAAAGAAAGAAAGAAAGAAAGAAAGAAAGAAAGAAAGAAAAGAAAATGAAAGGAAAAGAAAGGAGTGGAGTACGCCTGAGATTCTCTCTCTCTCTGTCTGCCCCTCCCCCGGCTCATGCAATGCTCTCTCAACCTCTCTCACTCTCTCTCTCTCTCAAACAAATAAATCTTTAAAAAGAGAAAAAAGCAAGCAGGCAAGCTTTACTTAGTACTCAATATGTGACTGATTTGAAACCCTACAGTTTACACATTTTCTGTTTTCAGTAAGTTTTCCTATAAATTTAAACATAATTTTTGTTTCTTTTTAAGTAGACAGTACCATTATTCACAGTTTTCAGATGAAGAAACTGTTGCTTACTAAGACTTGGAGACAAGGGGAGTCAGGAGATAAAGTAAAAGAAAAAATAATTCCTTTCTATCTCATTTTGCTTTGCTTCTTTACTTTGTCCAGGGCTGCTGAGATTATATTACAATCGTGGTCACACGTTTGTTTTCAGTGCCCATTTTACACTGGCCCCAAGCTCCTATTTATATCACAACAAGGCCTCAGCCTCTTCCCCAAAAAGTCCTCAGTAATGAGAAGAGAATCCCAAAGATGGTGCCTCACATATATCCAGAGACAGGAGTCAACCAAAAACCACCCTGTGTCCTCCCTGCTGCCCAAACAGCTCACTGCCTCCTGTACCTGTCATAGGATTGCCAGTGTGTATGTCATTCCCAGATCCTGGATACTCCCGAACTTCTAATCCTCAGAGTGCCAAAAAGCTGGGCTCCACTCAGAGAGGAGGAAGAATTCCTCCTCCCTGACTTGCCTACCCTGTGTCCCTTTGTGACCCAAGCCCTTCACCAGGCCACTTGTTTTCAATTTATTATGACTCTCCTCATGAGAGTTCCTTCCGTGTAAAAACCTACATCTTCTGTCCGCTAGTCACAGGTCCTCAGAACCTATCAAGAACCCAGTATCCCAGGTCTTCCTCCAACCAAAGACTCAACTCTCTCCCTCTAGTTACAAATAAAGAAAAACAAAATGAAACCAAAAGAAAAAGCCCCAACAGCTCCATTTTACATAACAAAAGGCTTTACAAACAGAAACTGACTTAGGTATGCATTGGGCCCTGGGGGTGAGGGGGAAGTTAGGGGTGGTAGGCACAGCAGTAAGGTTGCCTAAACTCTGTTAGGGTCCCAGCTCAGCCAACCAAAAACTCCCTGTCATGGCGTTCTGCTTCCAAGCCTCAGCAAAAGGCAAAATGGCTGAACATTTCAAAACTGTTCTAATGGCCAAAGCAATCGAATTGACAGGTCTCCAATAGAATTTCTAGTCAAGAATGGAATTCTAACAGAAATGATGGCAGATGCACTGGAAACAAACTAGACTAACGTTGATATGGCCTATTTTAAGGTTCCCACAGAATTTTGTTCCCCACACTATGATTGTACTTACCACACTGTGGTCAAGGTCAGCAGTTTACATAGGTTTGCTTCATCTCTGTTTCCCCAGCACCAGACACAGCATATGACATTCATAGTACAGAGTAGAAGCTCAGTGTTTGCTGAGCAAGTGGATGAATGAGTGGTAGCCTTTCAAAAAGCCTGTTTGTGCTTCCTGCACGAAATGTTACTGAAACACTGGGAATGCCTCTGCCAGGCTTTCTTGAGGTTGAGAGCAGAGCAAATTAAAATACTGAGCTGTAGGTCCCACAAACTACATTTGAGAAGAGTACACACAGTCCATTCAATTCTCTAGCTGACAGAACATGGGCTTCTAGGCTTCTCCTCCAAAACGTGAGGCTACTTGAGCTTTCTTTGTTTACCTCACATAGCAACTCACTCCAGCCACTTCAGGCCAGAACGGCCTCCATTGACGGCGAGGACACAGTGAAATGGGCTCAGGAGGGGACCAAGCTGACCCTGGGACCACACTGCCGTTGGCCTTCCTGTTGTGTGAACCCATCAATTCTCTAATCATTGAAGCCAGTTTCACTCGGGTTTTACATTTCTGGCAACAGAAAGCTTTCTGGCAGATAAAATGATAAAACCTACATCATTGGTTGCTGTGAGGATTTTCGAAGAGTATCTAAAGCAGCAGCATGTGCCTGGGATATGGCGAGAACCTGATAGGGGCTCCCGGGGTGACACAGTGGCTGTCCTGAAGCCACAGAGGCAGTTCTAAACAACAGTTAACGTTCACAAACCACCTCCCCCACCCACCCCGGCCCACTTCCTGAAGGTATGAAGATAAAGCCCCAGGGATAAAGCAAATACACGCAGAAGAGGATTCTCCCAGGCATCTTGAACCAAGAACATCTTGGAGTTCTCCAAGTGTCTTTACACACAATTATTGAGCTGTGCTAAGCCCCTGCTTTGTACAAAATCTGGTGCTGACAATAGAGTGTATATGAACAAACAAAGGAAAGAAAAGAGAAAAACCAAAAAGCAGGCTTTTAACTATAGGGAACAGATGGTTACCAAGTGGGGGAATGGGGAAAGTGGTAAAGGAGATTAAGAGGAAACTCCTTGATGAGCACTGAATAATGTACAGAATTGTTGACTCACTGTATTGTACACCTGAAAGTAATTTAACACTGTATGGTAACTATAGTGGAATTAAAATAAAAAATAAAACAAAAACCATGGAGTGTGTATGTCAGGTATAAAGTGATACATATGTACAGTGAAGGAGGAGAGATCGTGTGAAAAGTAATCCAACAGGCATTGCAATTCCAAAGAGGAATTACCTTTTCGCTAAGTTCAAGGCAGACATTGCTAATCAACCACTGATCTCTTTCTCCCTCTGCCTAGACATAGCCTCAAAATCCTCAGAAGTTTCTAGGGAACCACTATCAACTGAACAAAGTAGGCACACAAGGTGAAACTTATTTGCCTTTCCTACTGTAATCATGGAGTGTCTGATACTAGATAAAAATGGCAGACTAAAAAGGTAGGTACCTGGTGTAGAAGAAGAGTTTAGGAAGTTAATTAGTGTGTGTGTCAGAAAATACTCAGAGATTAAAAAAAAATCTCAATGGCTAAAGGACAAATATTGCAAACAAGTCTGCTACCATCAGGCCTTGCCTGACTCCCTAACTACTCCCCTTCCCTCTCCTCTTCCCATGCTGGGACACAGGACATCACTTACAGTGTGGATCCTGCCAGTTCACTGAGTGGAGTGTAGCCTTTCCTGCCTCCAGTTTCCTTTCCTTCTGGTCTGTGACATCCAGCTTCCGCTAACCTCCATGCCGTGTCAACAGATAATTTTACTAGTTAATGAAAAGATTAGTGAAGAGATTATCAAATTGGTTCAGTCGATTTAACTGAGACCCATGTACCCAGGAGAGAGCCAGTGAATAAGCAGCAGCTTGGGTAGTCCTTTTGGGAAAACACACACACACACACACACACACACACACACACTTTTGTTTTGAAAGTCTGCAACCAGTGGGGTACCTGGGTGGCTCAAGTTGGTTAAGCATCTGCATTCCGCTCAGGTCATGATCTCGAGGTCCTGGGATTGAGCCCTGCATCAGGCTCCCTGCTCAGTGGGGAGTCTGTTTCTCCCTCTCCCTCTGCTCTTCCCCCACCCCCTGCTTGTGCTTACTCTCTCAAATAAAAACTAAATAAATAAAATTTAAAAAAAAGTCTGGGACACCTGGGTGGCTCAGTCAGTTTGGTGTCTGCCTTCCGCTCAGGTTGTGACCCCAGGGTCCTGGGATCGAGTCCCACACCAGGCTCCCTGGCCAGTGGGGAGTCTGCTCATGCTCTCTATCTCAAATAAATAAATAAAATCTTAAAAAAAAAAAAAAAGTCTGTAACCAAGATAGCTCCATTCAGGAAAATGGGTGAATTTTGTGATTACAAATCTGTGCTGAAAGCCAG